TGTCTCCAAAAATTAATTTTGAATAATAAACTCTTTTCTATTAGTTCTTTGAGATTCAACATTATGAAATGACAGACAAAAATAACATTTTCCTCTGTCATGTGGAAATGATCTGAAGATAAGATATATAGAATTTTCTCCAAGGTCACTGCAAAGAAGTTAGAAATTTTAAAGATACTTTATGAATAAAAAGTATCTAAAAATAATATGATCAGGTCAAAAACTGGTTTTTAACCCCCAGAAATACAAGTATTTTTGGTTCAGAAAGCTTTCATCTTACCTTTAATAATTCAAAATAGTGCCAACAATGATACACTGGCACCAGCATAAGGCGTGGAAGGACATAACGAACTGCCTCTTTAAAACCATCAGCAATGGACTGCAAAGCAAAAAGATAATATGGTCTATCTCTGATATCAAGGATATATAAAAGCAGTGCCTAACAGAAATAGCTTTTAAAAATTCAACATACAGACTTGGCAAAACTACAATGGAAAGCATATTGTATATTGAAATTCAAGTGCTGTAAATCAAGTTGTTAGTTTTCTCCCTTTCTTCCTTTAAGTTATTAGATAAATATTTACATTTCTTCATCTTTTATATGGCTAAAATAACTTCCGCAATAGTCCTCTACAGCTTTTCTTCAAACGTTTGAGCTTCCATATCCCTAAAGGAATTTTGAAAAGCCACGTACCCTCTTGCACACTTTTACAACATCATCAGATATGTTTAAAATTTAAATAGTTACAAAGGACATATTTTGAGGAATGCTGTATATTGTAAATGTGATTTAAATATATTTCACCAAAGAAAAAGTGAATAAATTTCAGATGTGGCTCATTTAATTTATGAAAATGTCTGTCATATAACTTGATTGACAAAGTCAATCTTCACTGTCAAAATAAACAGGTAGGAGACTTAATTTGTCAGAAGTCTGACTTTATTCTTAAATTCAAATAAGCATATCAATGTCATGGCCTCAAGAATTAAAAGCATCTGGAAGAATCTACAACTCCTTCTAACATAGTACATCAAGGAATGAGAACTTTATAAGCCTCCCCTCTCCTTTATCCCAAATGAATGAAGCACTTAAAAAATGTTAATATATAATAATATAAACCCGTGTTATAATCATCTCGCTTCTTAATTCTTAGGTAGTCAGACAGATATGACAAGACATAGATAGAGAAGACATTTCAGCTACCAAGAGTTTTTTTTTTTTTTTTAACCATAATCACCCCACACCCTTCTTTTGGAAACTCTTTTGCTTCATATTCAATGAACTCTCCCTTAGGAATAACACCTTTTTTTTTTTTCTTGGTTAGTGCCCTGGAGGTTTTTACACCCTGGATCAAGGAATAATGGAAAATTCAATATGGCAAGAGGTAATATGCAAGAAAAGTTGGAAAAGAGAGTGCAAAAAACACAAACAAGATTTCAAGCATACTAGACATTGATCCCCTTAAAGCCAGTTGTGCCTTTATATACCCTGAAAAATCTTAGTGTACAGTTTAGGAATAGGTAATACCCCAGTTTTGGAGACTACTAACTACTCTGTAAAATAAATGATTTCCTAAAATTTAAGAGGGATTTAAAAGTCACTCATGTTGATTTTAAACGTCTTTAAGGTTCACCTACTGGCATTTCTCCCCTTAAGAAAAATACCAACCAGAGCAATACATGTGAGAAAGAATCTGATATTTTTTTTAAAAAAAAATATTCTCTTGTACAAACACTTCCATAATTCTCATATTTTCTTAACTGAAGTTAAATGATAATTTGTTCAACAGACTTATTACCCAGTAACTAGACTTGCTACCAGAATAGGCAAAAAGAGCCAACTATTTTCTTAAAGATTCATTTCTTTTAGCATTTGCTATGGTCTGAATGTTTGCATCCCCCCAAAATTCATATGTTGAAACCTAATCCCCAATGCAATAGTATTAAGAGGTGGGACTTTTAGGAGGTGATCAGGACATGAGGGCAGAGCCTTCAGTAATGGACTGGTGCCCTTATAAAAGGGGCCCAAGGGAGCTTATTTGCCCCTTCTACCACGTGAGGACACAGTGAGAAGGCACCATTTATAAGCCAGAAGAGTAAGCCCTCACTAGACACTGAATCTGCTGGCACCTTGATCTTGGACTTCTCAGCCTCTAAAACTGAGAAATAAATTCTGTTATTTATAAAGCAATCCAGTTGACAGTATTTTGTTAGAGCGGCCTGGATGGACTAAGAAAGCATTAAAATAATACAGTGATTTGAATTACTCTGAATGTTTTATATATAGTGCTACTGGAACCAATATGAAACTTTAAAATTAGTATACAAGGTCATCTGTTTTATTAATTTGTGCTAAAATGGCTACTAAAGTATACTCTAAAATTTCTACAACATTCACAGTGTAAGGAGCCCTCTGATAGTAACAGGAGTTATACTGTGTTTAATACATGCCAAACATTGTGTTTGTGCTTTATATGTATTCCTAGTTAATTTTCATAATAACTCTAAGAGGTATATATTGTTATCATCACCATTTTACAAATAGGCAAACTGAGTCTCAGAGATTCAGTGAATTGCTAAAGGTAATGCAACTATTAATTGGCCCAAAACCAGAAGTTCTGACTCCAAATCTCATTTTCTTAAGGTGTGCTATATAGCTTCAAAGATGCTTTTTGGTTTTTAATGAAACATTACTTCACCTTAAACTGAATGAAATTTTTTAAGTTAACACAGTACAAATGAGTTTGGCCTAAAAGGGGTTTTATCTAATACTCAGTTTTACCGAATATCTGGGGGGATAACTTCAATAACTATGTCTTACTTAAATATTCAAATTCCACAGCAAGAACTCCTAATAAAATAGGAATGAAACAAGAAATGTGAGTGCTTTTAATGAGTGTGCAAAGTTTTTATACACAGAAGATGTTCCTTTAATTTATGTTTACTTTATGGTTTTTATGAACATGTAAGATTTAATTTATTTCTCTCTTGAAGTAATTTTGAAAATTAGGTATAATTTTTATTCCATGTTTACAAATTTTCGAGAATAAAGTAGTAGAAGGAGATAAAGGGAATTCACAGTAAAGAGGGCAGGAAGAAAATGTTAAATTCAGTTTTAAACATGTTATATTTTGAAGTGCCTATAGGTTATCCAAGTAAATCAGTTGATGGCAGCTGGTTATATGAAAGTGTAAAAGACACACACACACACACAGTGCTCAAAAGTAAGTGATGGCCTGGAAACACAAACAGGAAGTCACCAGCATATAGGTATGGATGAAGTCACCCTAGGAGAGCACAGAAAGACAGAAAAAACAGAGTTGGATAATAGCTACAATTGAGGAGACTGAGAAGAAATCAGAGAAGTAAAATGAAAATTAGAGAAAATGGTATCATAAGAGCCTAGAGACAAGAGGGGGACTGACATATACTATCGACATAAATATTAAATTAAAATATCCGATAGATTTGGCAATTAATTGTGAGAGGCTGTTTTTAGTATTATATTGTGATTAAAATACACATGGTAGTGTTTTGACAAAGAACTGTGAAAAATAACATAAAGACAACTGGCTGCAAAGTGAAAAAATCAAAGATAAGAGTAGCTAGAGTGAATGGTTTGTTCATTTGTTCACTTGCTTTAAGACAATAAAGATTTGACCATAATCACATGCTGAGCGGGGATAGTTAATCTAGACGCAGAAGTTTCTACAGCCAATAAGTAGTCAAGTATCACTTATGCCAATGTAAGCTTTGCTGTAAGTGTTGAGAGAATAAAAATATCATTTTATTTGGCTCTCTCCACACATTTTCATTTTATCTAAGTACATTACTGAACCAATTAACTTGTATACTCCTCCTCAATACAGTTTAAAGAGGGCTATTACAATGAATTTTAAAAACTATAGTATTTATCTCCTTTAAATTATAGGCCTGACACAGAAATCAATAAGAATATATTTGAGGCTATTAATGATTTCTCCAAATCTTCCTCCTATAGGGAATATAATCCTGAAATACCTCTCCAAATTCATCTCTATATCCCAAATCTAGGATGTGCCAGATTCTTCTGGTCATCCAGTATTTGCGATGTTGTACTACAAAAGATTTCCATATAAAGAACAGATTGAGGGCCAGGTGCAGTGGCACACGCCTGTAGCACCAGCACTTTGGGAGGTCAAGGTAGGAGGATCACTTGAGGCCAGGAGTTTGAGATCAGCCTGGGCAACATAGCAGTGAGACCCTCTCTCTACAAAATAAAAAAAAGAGCCAGATGTGGTAGTTCGTGCCTATAGTTCCAGCTACTTGAGAAGCTGAGGTGGGAGGATCCCTTGAAACCAGGAGTTTGAGGCTGCAGTAAGCTATGATCCCACCACTGTACTTCAGCCTGGGTGACAGAATGAGACCCCATCTCTTAAAGAAAAAAAAAAAAGAGAGACAGAAAGAAAACAGAAGATAATCTAAAATGGGTTTAGAATTAATAGGATTTGAGGGATTAATGAAATATTTTCTCACTTGCTTTATAAAAAGACTCCAGAATTATAAACATTTGAAGGATATGATGGTGAAATACACTTTTACTTACTTCATAAAAAAGAAAAAAATTTAAGTTTACCTGAAAGTGTAGAGCAACTGCAGGTCTGGCCATCAGTTTACTGAAATGTTCATTAAACTCTGGTGAAAGAATGTCCTGTGATAATGTTTCATAAGGATCAAATGCTTGTTCCTATTTTTTTAAAAGAAAAATGTGTTAGGTTTAAAAGAACATGTTTTCTATTAATATATACAGATTACTTAATGGCAAATTTTTATTCAAGTCCTCAATCAGATTTTATCACTTTTTGTTCTCTTCTTTTCCAGTGATAAAATAACAATAACTATGGCTGCAACTGGTATATTTTTTAAAATGTAAGTAGTGACTTAGAATAATAGATGACAAGAGGCTATAGGTCTTAAAATAGGTCACTGACTTTGTGGTCACAAATATCAAACTATTAAAATGCTTATGCACATTTATCCCCAGTAAATGAAAAGGGTAAGAGTAGGCTAGAGTTTGAAATTCAGCCATGCTTACCTAAGCCGAAATTAGTTTACATTTCAAATTATTTTCAAAGGAAACAAAAGTGATAGCTCTGTTTTAGCCACTTGACAGTTTTCAAAATTAGAAAAAGAAAACCTAGCACAAATAACATACTGCAAGAAAACAAACAGAAATCGCCCATAGTTTGTCCAATGTCTATATTTAAATAAACTCCTATTATTTGGTAATAATAACCCAATGTTTAGTTAGACCTAAGAGATTTGTTTCATTTTTCTATTTTAAAAGTACAAAAAGAATGTTTTTTGGGGAAAATAAGTACACTATTGGCAAAAATGCAGAGAAATTAGAACACTTGTATATTGCTAGTGGGACTGTAAACTCGTTCAGCCTCATGGAAGACAATTTGGCAGTTCCTCAAAAAGCTAAACAGAATTACCATATGACCCAGCAATTCCACTCCTAGGTGTACATCCAAAAGCACTGAAAACACTGCAGCATTATTCAAAATAGCTAAAAGGTGGAAACAATCCAAGCATTCATCAGCAAATGAGTGAATAAACAAAATGTGGTATACACATGCAATGGATTAGTATTCAACCACAGAAAGGGATAAGTTCTGACATCTGCTATAACATGGATCAACCTTGAAAACATTATGCTAAGTGAAGTAAGCAGACACAAAGGACAAATATTATATGATTCCACTACATGAAATATCTAAAAAAGCCAATTCATGGAGACAGAAAGTAGATTATAGGTAAGAGGAGTGAGAGGAATAGGGATTTCTTGCTCTTTGGGTAGAGTTTCTTTTTGGGGTGAGGAAAAAGTTCTGGAAATAGATAGCAGTGATGGGTGTACAATATTGTGAATTTAATTAATGCCACTGAATTGTACACTTAAAAATGGTTAAAATGGCAAATTTAATGTTTTTTATATATCTATAACCAAAATAAAAAATAATACGG